TTTCCAAATATTTGCTGATTTCTAGATAACTTTCTTTTATTAATTTTTTTAACTTTGAGATATCATTTATATTCCATAAAGTATATAATTCAGAGGGGTTTTTTTCTGATGTTTTTTAAATTTTCTTACTGAATCCATTAAAAAACACACACACACACAATTCAGAAGATTTTAGTATATTCACAGAAGTGTGTAAACATCACCATATAACTGATTCTGGAACATTTCATCATCCTTAAAAGAAAATAAGTTCCCATTATCAGTTATCCCCCCCCATTTCCCCTTCCCATAGCCACTGGTAATCACTAATCTAACTTTTTGTCTGTTTGAATTTTCACATATATGGATTCATACATGAGATCTTTTGTCTTGATTCTTTCACTTAGCATGTTTTCAAGGTTCATCATGTTGTAGCATGTATCAGTACTTCATTCCTTTATATGATTAAATAATATTCTGTATGAATATACATTTTATCTATCCATCAGGTGATGACTTTGTACATTTTAGCTATCTGTATATAATCTATATATATAAAAGGCTAATATGCAAAGCGTCCCCGTGGGAGTTGGACCGGGAGTTCGATTGCTCGCTATGACTTGCTTTGACCACCAGGGGGTGGCGCGGAACAAATGAAGGCCCCGGCCAGCAGCTGGAAGGCTCTGATCGGCCCTGATCGCTGGCCAGGCCTAGGGACCCTACCCGTGCATGAATTTTGTGCACTGGGCCTGTAATTATGAATAATGCTATGACTATACTTTAAAAAGTTTCCCAGTTGTTTCTAATATGCAGCAGAGTTGAGAATCAGATGTAAAGCTGATGATGGGCCCTGGATTTGCACACCAAGACTGTACAATATTTCACACCACTTCTTTTGGGACAACATGACTCAAGAGTGGGCATGCCCTCCAGCCTCATGAGCTTTTTAAAAAATGGTACCCCAATCACAGTGTGACTCAATCAGTAGGCTCCCCTTGAGTGATTCATGAAATGATACTACTTGCTGTAAAACTATCAGGTACACATACCATGAACAAGGCAAAAGATGTCATAAATCCTTCTTTCATGTGCCACCATATTCTATCTGTAGGTAGTTGCTGAAGTAGAGGTACAAGACTCCTGCAATGATCAGGCAGAACCTTCTATTCCCAAGAAACCTTGCAATGGTAACACTCCCCAAATGACACCTAGAACCACAGCAATAATCTGTCGGAACCAGTAGATCACATCTAAAAATTCATCCTTGTTCTCCCAGGCTGCGTCACTTCGCAGCACCTTGCTCCACACAGAGACTTTGAGGACCCTGTTGTCCAGCTGAGGCTGAGGCAGCTCCTCCTTCCACCTCCTGCCACTCATCCTATCTCTGCCCTTCTCCCCCCACTGGGCCTGGGGCATGCTGGCCAAGTCAAAAGGAGTCGGGGTCTGGGGTCTCAGGTCACAGCATTCTGGGCAGCAGTGGAGGCTCTGCAGTCTGGCTCAGGGGCACACCACAGCTGCCCGCACTTGGCCAAGCAGTTGGCTCATCTTGCTCTCCTTTTATTTTTAATTTCATTTCATTGTAGTCAAAAAGTATAACTTTGTATGACTTGAATCCTCTTAACTATATTGAGGTTTGTCATATGGCCCAAAATATTGTCCTTCTCAGTAAATATTTCATGTGCACTTGAGAAGAATATATATTTTGCTGGTGTGGGGTCGTGTGTTCTATAGATGTCAATCAGGTCAAGTTGATTAATAGTGTTGAATGTACTGTGTTTTTTCTGATTTTCTATTTGTTCTATTAATTATTGAAGGAGAATTTTGAAATCTTTGACTATAATTATGGATTTATTCTTTTCTCTTTGCAGTTTAATTGGTTTTTGCTTCTTGTATTTTGAAATTTTGTTATTGGGTACATAAATATTTAGAATTGTTATGTTATCATAATGAATTTATTTGTTTATCATCATGAAATATCCTTCTATCACTGGTAATATTCTTTGCTCTGAAATCTATTTTATCTGATATTAATATAACCCTCCAGCTTTCTTTTGATTATCCTATTCTTTTTCTTTTAACTAATTTCTACTTATATAAAAACCCCGGGTGGTGTTCATCATGACCAGAACCACCGCGACCAAGCGGAAGGAAGTCAGTCCTGCAGGGGTTGTCTTGGCAATGGCTGCGCCCTCCCTCGAGCTGTTTTACGGAGCTGTTTCCTGTAAGGACGGGGTTTGAGGCAGGAACCCGCCCTGGGAGGGTGGAGGCATTATCTTTATAAAGTTTGCCGCGCCGGCACAGCCAAGGGTGAATCTGAGTGGGGGCGGCTGAAAGGCTTAGAAAAGACAGACAAGAGAATGAAAGCCGGGTCTCGGTGGGATGCTGCTTCTCTGAGAGACAGCGACCATGCCCGCAGCCATGCCTTTATTTTATAGCAGATGCTACGAGGCAAAGTAAGGGCGTGACCAAGATGTTTACAACATTCTCCTGGGTTTCAATCCTACTCAACTACATGCACCTGAACTCTATCAAGCCTACATCACTCAGGCACGTGGGGCCACGTGTTCGGACCATAGGTTCAAGCTTACAACTACAGCTGTTGGCTGTAATTGTGCTGGGAGGGCCTTGCCCTCCAAGCTGGGACTTGCACGTGGCAATGAGAGGACTGTGCTCTCTCATCAGTCCAAGGCTTGAACCTGTCCAAAACACTGTAGCGGCTCCCCACAATAAAGTTTTAATTCTGTTTCTTTGTTACTAATGTTGTGGCCCCACCCCATAACAGAGAAACAATTTCCGAAGGATGAGGCCCAGGAATCAGGATTTTAAAAAGATTCCCAGGTGATTCTAATGTGCAGCCAAGGTTGAGAACCACTGCTATAGATAATATTAAAAATATATCTAAACGTGCAATTCTTTGTCCAAAAAATGAGCATGTTCAAAAATTAAATGAAGAAAATTTGGATATACTCAGAGATTTTCACACATATTTGAGTGATGATTCCATTGATTCCACAGATGATGCTGAAAAGGAAAATTTTCCCATTGAATTTCTTAATAGTATTACTCCTTCGGGAATGCCGTGTCATAAATTAAAATTGAAAGTGGGTGTGATCATCATGCTATTGAGAAATCTCAATAGTAAATGGGGTCTTTGTAATGGTACCAGGTTTATTATCAAAAGATTACAACCTAACATTATCGAAGCTGAAGTATTAACAGGATCTGCAGAGGGAGAGGTTGTTCTGATTCCAAGAATTAATTTGTCCCCATCTGACACTGGCCTCCCATTTAAATTGATTCGACAACGGTTTCCCGTGATGCCAGCATTTGTGATGACTATTAATAAATCACAAGGACAAACTCTAGACAGAGTACCATAGTCCTACCTGAACCTGTTTTTGCACATGGTCAGTTATATGTTGCTTTCTCTCGAGTTTGAAGAGCATGTGATGTTACAGTTAAAGTTCTAAGTACTTCATCACAAGGGAAATTAGTCAAGCACTCTGAAAGTGTTTTCACTCTTAATGTGGTGTACAGGGAGATATTAGAATAAGTTTAATCACTTTATCAGTCATTGTTTGCATCACTGTTGTTTTTATATCATGTTTTTGTTGTTTTCATATCATGTTTTTGTCGTTTTTGTATCATGCCTCTGTTGTTATATCCTTTTGTTACTGCTTATTTTTTAATAAATTTATATATTATTTTCATATACATTTTACTAATTTCCTTTCATCTCTCACACTTCTATTATAGAGAAAGGGCACATAGCAATATTAAAATATCTCTGCTAATTAATTCCCTTTTTAAAAAAATATATATTTTATTGATTTTTTACAGAGAGGAAGGGAGATGGATAGAGAGTTAGAAACATCGATGAGAGAGAAACATCGATCAGCTGCCTCCTGCACACTCCCCACTGGGGATGTGCCTGCAACCAAGGTACATGCCCTTGACCGGAATCGAACCTGGGACCCTTGAGTCCGCATGCTGATGCTCTATCCACTGAGCCAAACCGGTTAGGGCAATTAATTCCCCTTTAATGTGCACGAATTTTGTGCACCGGGCTACTAGTTGTCTTCATATTTAAAGCGTATTTCTTCTAGGTAGCGTATAGTTGAAAGTTGCTTTCTGTAATCCTATTTATCTCTGCCTCTTAATTGGGTCATCTAGACCATTATATTTAACATGATTATTGATATGGTTAGGTTTCAATCTTGTGATATGTCTCATCTCTTCTTTGATGCCATTTTGTTTTTCTGCTTTCTTTTGGATTAATTGAATTTTATGATTATATTTATCTTATTTTGGCTTATTAGCTGTAAGTCTTTTTCTGTTACTTTGTTACTTAAGGTATTTACTACATATATTTAACTTATCATAATCTACCTTTAAGACATAATGGAATATAATACTATCATTCATTTATTTTACTTCATTCTGTATTATATTTCATTTAATGGATGTACCAAAATGTATTTAGCCTATCCATTATTGATGGAATTTAGGTTGCTTCCATATTTCACTCTTGTAAATATTGCTGGATGAACATTTGTTTTTGTTTTAAATATATTTTTATTGATTTTTAGAGAGAGGGGAAAGGAGAGGTATAGAGAGATAGAAACATTGATGAGAGAGGAAGTCATTGATTGGCTGCTTTCTTCATGGCCCCAACTGGGGATCAAGCCCACAGCCCAGGCATATGTCCTGACTGGGAATTGAACCGGCAACCTCTTGGTTCCCGGGTCAACACTCAACTGTTGAGCCACACCAGCTGGACTGGATGAACATTTTTGTATGTTTTTGTTTACTTTTGCATAGGATATATTCACAGAGGTGAATTGCTCAGTTAGGCATTTTTCTGACAGTTTAGCAATTTAGATGACTGAAAATTAACTAATATTTTAAAGATATTAGTGCTCATAAAATGAGTTCCAAAGTCACTGTGATATAATTAACCATTGATAGCTATTATCTTTGATAAGAGTATCTCATGTTTTGAATTGTTTCCTTGTTTTCAGCTCTGAAAGCAATTACCACTTTAGAAAATTTATTAACAACTGAAGCATTAGAAGGGAATGACCCATTTGCAGATACAAGTTCACCTGTCAAGATTTTCAGTCTAGCTGCCCAGTTTGCTCTAGAGGTAACTCTTATGTATACATTTATGAAATGTTTGCCTCTTTTTCATTTTGTGAGATAGTTAATGGAATCATCATTAGGTAGGCACAGGAGAGGCCTTCCCTTACTTCCTTTACTATTTTACCTCATATTTTCTCACCAAGCTTGGTTACAGCATTTTTTCATTTCTCTTCATTTCTTTCTAATGTGAAGTAAATGAAACAAGGTGAGGTAACAGATTTGTGCTTAAAACTACAGAAAAAAAAATTAATAAAATGTTAATTAAAAAAAAAAAAACCACACCGGATTTAAAATGCTATGCCATGCAAACAAATGCAGTAGTTATCTATTTAGAAACTTGTCTTATCACCACCTGACTTTTGTAGGCAAATTAGCTATAACTTCGTGCTGAAGTTGCTAGAGGGCCAGAACATTATAAATAGGGAAGCAGGTTGTTTACCACAACAGTAGAAGTGATTTTTTTCTGAAGATATGGGTAAACAATGCGATTTAACAGCCTTTGAACTTGTGATTTATATATACACTGAGTGGCCAGATTATTATGACCACCCCATCAGTACTTCGTTGGGCCACATTTTGCCTTCAATACCGCGGTGATTCTTCTTGGCATTGACTCCACGAGATGTTGAAAGGTGATGCGAGAAATCTGACACCATGCCTGATGATTAGCACTGTCCAGTTCTGTGAGATTTGATGGTTGTGGAACCAGCTGCCTGATGGCTCTTTTAACTTCGTCCCACAAATGCTCAATTGGATTGAGATCTGGTGATTGTGGGGGCCACCTAAGCAAGGTAGTCTCTCCCTCATGTTCTTGAAACCACTCCTGCACAATATGAGCACCGTGGCATGGCGCATTTTCTTGTTGGAAGAAGCCATCTCCATTGGGATACTCCATCAACATGATAGGATAAACTTGATCAGCAACGATACTTAGGTATGTTGTGCTATTCAGGCGTTGTTCCACACGAATTAAAGGGCCCAAATCATGCCAGGAAAACATGCCCCAAACCATAACACTGCCCCCACCAGCTTGAAGGGTTGTACTCATGCATGTGGGGTGCATGCTTTCATGCTGTTTCCGCCAAATTCTCACTCTGCCATCTGCATGATGCAACTGGAAACATGATTCATCAGACAACATGACTTTTTTCCAATGCTCAACTGTCCAATCCTTGTGTTCATGTGTGAATTGGAGATGTTTTATCTTGGTAACTGCAGACAGAAAAGGTGTTCAAACAGGCCTTTGGCTTCCATATCCCATACGATGCAGTGTACGGCTAATTTGCCTACAAACGTCAGGTGGTCATAATAATCTGGCCACTCATAATAATATATATCCCACGTTCAAAAGCTGTTAAATCGCGTTGTTTACCCATATCTTCAGCAAAAATCACTTCTACTGTTGTGGTAAACAACCTGCTTCCCTATTTATAATGGTCTGGCCCTCTAGCAACTTCAGCACAAAATTATAGCTAATTTGCCTACAAACATCAAGTGGTCATAATAATCTGGCCACTCAGTGTATATAGAATGTAACAGAATTTATTATAGGGTAATTTACCCTTGGGAAAATTTGGTTGGATTGGAACAGATAACCCAGCAATTCTCTGCAGGTTATTCTCCACTACGAGACCCCTGTTACAATACTTTTTTATAGCATAACTTGTGTACTAATGATTGATAGGACAAAAAATACAGTAGCATTAGGGGCCAGTAGCACAAGGCCTGATGGCCTTATGATAGATGATTGTTTATAATTGATACTATTACCAGCTTGTCATCTCAATTGATGCCATTCTGGCTGTTTCAACAAAAATATTTATGGCTATTTTTAGGCAATACAAATAATCATGAATTAGAAGGCTTTCATATGCTTGCTAAGGACAGTGAGGTTGGTCAAAGGTCACAGCATGAAACTTAAAAGTGAAATGAAATCTGGGACACAGAGATGGGGGTTTTTTTGTTCACATCTACATCTATACATCATAGTAATATAAGCCACCATAAGTCACGAGATCTAAAATAGTGGAGACATAAGCCCATCATCACTCCAACCAAGCATAATGTCTCTCAAACAGGCCAATCACATTCCTTTTTATGTATCTTGTTTATACCATCCCATCCTTCAAAAAATGTTCTTGCTTATTTAGATGCTACCCTTTTCAAAGCCCAACCTAAGGTTTCCCTCCACTGTAGAGACTTCCCAGATTAATTCGTCTTCACTGTTCTCTTCCTATTCTGAATTTTAGTGATTTGTAACATGTATGCTAGCTATTTGGTCTTTATTATACACTAGAGGCCCGGTGCATGAAATTCGTGCATGGGGGGGGTGTCCCCTCAGCCCAGCCTGCACCCTCTCCAATCCGGGACTGTTCGGACATCCCTCTCACAATCCAGGACTGCTGGCTCCTAACTGCTCACCTGCCTGCCTGCCTGATCACCCCTAACTGCCCCCCTGCCGGCCTGGTCGCCCCCAACTGCCACCCCTGCTGGCCTGGTTGCCCCTAACTGCCCCCCCGCTGGCCTGGTCACCCCTCACTGCCCTCCTCTGCCAGCCTGGTCACCCTTCACTGCCCCCCCCCCCTGCTGGCCTGGTTGCCCCACACAGCCTGTTTGGTCATTGTGTGAGGGCATCCCGACCAATTTGCATATTAGTATCGATTTTTGCCTTATATTTCTAATGCATACTTCTCTATCCAAATTGACTTGTGAGATCCTTGAGGACCATATTTTTAGCACCTAACCCAATATCTTGCCCAAAGTAGTTACTAAGTACAGTTTGAGTGATATGTGTCTTGATATTAATAAATAGGGTAATAGAACTCTTGGAGGAGGAAAAATATTTGGCAGATACAGATATAGGATATATTTGTGTAAGATGGTGAGGAGGAGGAAGTGAGAAAAATTTGGTAGTGGGGAAGCCAAAGGCAAATATCTTTTTAAAGGAAGGTTTATAAATTTACATTTGATATGGAAAGCAGAATTATGAAACTGTACTTCAGAAAAAGAAAATGGTTTTAATGAGGAGAAAGAATCAGAGAAAAATAAACTGAAAGTAGTTTGAATTAGAGGATGAGTGACCAAACCCCCAAAATTGAATATATAGTTACAAAAGAACATGTGTAGAATCCAGTTTTCACTTACTACAATTGCTTTATAAATGTCATTTGAAGTGCTAGTGAGAATATAAAGGGTGTCCCAAAATTCACGCAAGAAGTAATTTTGAGAGAAAACACAGGTTTATAATTAAAAATTGTAAATTTTTTATTGATTCATAAAGTATACAGTATTGGGTTATGTATGAAATAGCATATCGGGTAAATGGCCTCCACGGCTTTGCTGGCACATACCCACTCTTTTGTTGAAATTTTCCATGACCGAAATGCGGCTG